TTAGCCAAAGAAATTCTGGGGTTTTTGCGCACGGAGCCATTAATTTCGTTGGCCCTGTGTTTGTGCGAAGTCGGCTTTAGAAAAGAGAAATTTCCTCTTCCATGCTTCTGGTTCAAAATGAGGTACCTGGGTCGACTTCAAAACCACCTGAGAAATTCATTGCAGTAGTACACGTATGCAGTACAGTATTTACTTCTGTGATTTATGTGTCGCCAAGTACGCCTCAATTTCAGGAACATTGAGATTCTCTGCCATGAAAAACAGCACTTTTGAAGCGTTCCATTTTTTTTTTCTGAACGCAAAATACTGGTGGTATACCGTACATATGTGTGACGTACGACATTATTTCTTATACAGTACTCGTATTTTTTTATGCAAAAATATGAGCAATCTTGCTTGGGAATCCAACTGCACTTCGTACATTCCAGAAGAACCACATTTTTCGTTTTTTTTTTTCTCGCAATATCAACCACTTTTCCTTCCTCATCAACCTTTTCCTCTTTGCAAGGATATTCTGAAGTAGGAAATTTAGAAAAAATGCCCTTGATGACAGGCGTTTGTTTTCGATCCCATTCTTTCATTTATTATGTCCCTGGAATTTCAGTACTTAGCTTAATTCAATAAATTGTGGTCGTCGGGAACGTAATCGCGATGTCTCTCATCATTGAAATGGGATTTAAATTGTAATGCTCTGAGGGAAGTTATCCCAAGTGAGATCCCCACATGCAGACACCTTGACATGCGGACATTTTGATGTAGGGACATTTATTTTTTTAACAAAAAAGGCCCGACATATGGACACTGACTCAACATGAGGACATTGGATGATAAAATTGCCAATAAATTTCAAGAAAATTGACTTTTATTAGGCTCCATCGCAATAAGAAACAGATATTTCTATCCCTAAAATCTATGCAAGAAAAATCTTTTGGTTTTTCTCCCATCATTTTCTCATCCATGCAGCTAATTAAAAAATTACCTATAACATAGAGGGTATTCCTTCTCTCTTTGTGACTTGAATGTTATTTTTAAATATGCCAGGTAAAGTTACATGACATGTGTCCATGTGATAAGTTACGAGGTTTACAAGAGTAACTCAACTTTTCTATAAGTTATAAAGTTTAAGTTCACCGTTTGTTAAAAAAGGTACCTTAAGACTTCTTATAAACTTGCATAAAACACCAATTATAACTTACATAATGTAAGTCTAGGGGAAAACAAGACTCGACTTGGGGACAATTTGGCTTATGCACCAATTACATCCGCAACTGGGAGTCTCACTATATTTCAAGCAATTGCGTATGTTTTAGACTTTTGATTGTCATGAAATACTTCATTCCAGGTTTCACTTTCACACTTGGACCTCACTTTTGTTCAATGAAGTTATCTGATGTGAAAAAACCAGTTCAAGCTCCACTTCATGCTATTAATAAAAGTACTTCATCACCACTCTGTTCCCTTCCCACCTCGAGAAGTTCTTTGACTCGTCTTCAAATATTAAAATCATAATCAAGGATTTATGATACTTGAAAATGATAAAAAAAGTTAATTTTACAAACTCCCTATAAAGATCAAAGCTCCTAAACTAGAGTAACGCTCGGTACTTCACAAACGGATGGTAGACTCCTTAGTAGACTACTTGGTCACTGGAAAGGAAACCAATCTGAAAATAAGAGTATCCTGAGGGCGCTGAAAAATTGTCAACACGTCGAGACCCATGGGTTTTAGGCATCAGAGTCTCTATAATTAGATGGAACATTTTGTTCGAGCATACTGTATTTTTCATGTCCCCTGAGAAAATTTGTTCCAATACCATCGACGGTACTGATGTACATGCAACACGTTTTTCCAAGTCATGATTCTTTCAGCTGAGCGGATTTCTTCATTCGATCGTCGCAATCCTGATCGTCAAGACGGAGGCTTTCATCTGACGACGGTATTTCGCCTCAACTTTAGATTTTCATGAAAGCAAAAGCTGGGAAAATAAAAATTAAGAGTTACTCAAGGTTTTTCCCCCATGGATGAAAGCAACGCTCGCCACAGGAGCTCCCATCATTTTCGGCCGCAATTTTCGTAACTCCTTACGGCACGTGTTGCGTGACTTGAGATTTCAGTCATGCTCCCTTGATTTAATCAGAAAACCAGCATGAAACAGCGTTTTTCATAGCTTTTTTTTGTAACACCGGCTCGAAAAATAGGTCTTCGATTCGTGTCACAAAAGTGTAACCTCGGGTTTATTCATTTGAGGCCCCCTTTTTTGGTTACAATAATTTATCCGAAGAAATCTGACCGCTTAGCAAACTTGATAGCTTTGTATAAATTTTACGACATCTTATAATTTTTTTTATGTCAGCTGATTGATTCTGAGAAGCACGATCGTTAAAATTGAAAACTATCCAAATATTCGAATTAAAAAACGTCTACATTTTTGGAATACATCTAATGACAGAAAAATATCTGAATAACTTCACATTTGAATATTCTTTCCACGACAAAATTATTCCCTTTTCCAAGTCTTCTGGACAATCAAGCAAATAATCTGAACCCTTGTTTAAGGATAATCTTCGTTGGAGATAAACAAAATTAAAATTAGTTTCATCTCTTCTTTTTTCAGAAAGGTTCAAGGATAATTTTTTAATCCAGCGCTGTAGTATAATGAGGTCATCGTATATTTTAATAAATTCGCGTATATATGTTGACAAGCAGAGTCGACTGACGCATGCAAACTGCTGTTCCGAAAGTATCGTAATTGCCTCTTCGTGCAGAATGCGGAGTACTGAGCTACTCGTCAAAATTCGTTAATTAAAAGATCCTCTATACCCTAACGAGATCCCCGAAATCCCGTTTAAAACGAAACTTTTCTTTTAAAAAAATTGACCCGACTGTTACCTTGCAAACTATATTAGGAAAACTAAATAAAGAGTGGTCAAAATATCCGTCCTCTAAACGAAGTATCTAAGGGATTACTGATCAGATCCTTAAAGACTGGTTTGGGCCCCTGCACTGAACTTATTGCCTTTCCTAGCTTCCCATCATGAACGCACTCGGCGAGCCGAAAATCAAGCACCGTTTCTCACATGAGTGCTTCTCTTAAATATCTAATGATACCTCGTTTCGAAACTGAGCTTACTCCCGCAGTTGGCACACAATCACGCTGATAATGGGCATCCATGCCGAGAACCGTTAAACGTCTCTTTAGAGACACAAATCTAGGAGTACCCTGTAATTTGTGCTGAGGCCAAACAAACCAAAGAGCTGCTTAGTGACAACCTTCAGCTGGCACTTGGGTTTTTTTAACCGGCTAATTTTGAAAAGTCCTGAATATTCAGAAACGGAAAATCTTTCCAAGCCGCATCAGTTCAAGAAATTTAAAGAGAAATGTGGAAGTAGTAAGCGATGCATTCATAGTAAAACCCTTCATAAGAAATTTTAATACAGGTGGACTCTTTCACTACCATGAAATTCCCGGAACCAGAAAAAATGTTCATTGCAGAGAAACCTATAAGACCAAAACTACTTTCTTTTACAGAAAAAACCATTGCAGACAAGATCGGTGCGGAGAGAGTCGAAGTTTACGCGGCAGTATTATTTTTTTTATTCCACGTACTGAATTGTGCTTCTTAATTGTTTTGATGCTTGTTCCGCCTTCATTTAAACCTAATTCATTTATACCTAAACTAAGCAAATTCAAAGATTGTTCGACTTTGAGAAACTGTTATGCTTAAGCCGTTTGTGGTTTTCTCGGATTTTTTGCTCCATTGATGTCTCGAGAGCAATGTTATGGAACGGACTGTATGCACTGAATTGCCCGGTCACGATTTTCTGCTTTGTAGAACAGTTATTCATATATTCTCCACTCATGTATGAATTGATCTGGAAAGTTCCTCTGGAAAGTTCCCCGGGATGAAGAATGTACCGTAGCACCTTCATATTATTATCATTGGCGAGCCACTTCGAAAATCAATGACATGCAGTTTATCACATGAGAACAAGCTGGTATAAATCATTTGATGAAAAAAAAAGACAAATCCATTTCGTGCTTTTACCAAGGACAATTGAGTATTCAGTGTAAAACAAATTTCAATTGCACCTACACTCGTTGAACCTTAGCCCAACATTTTTGTCTTTTCACATTGAACGTTCTCAACCCTTAATCGACCTTTCCTCGAGGGTATGAACTCCCAGGGGTAATGAAAAATAAAAATTAAAGGAAAGCAAGAATCGATTGAAATTTGCACATGAAGGGCGGTGGCTCGAGAAATAGATCGCAAACATCATGGACCAGCCCTGATGTAAATATATTTTTCTCTCGATGACCTCAATCAATAATTTGCTTGAGAGTCCGAGTCGGAGGAATGCATCCTATGGAGTGTTAGCAATAAACTATGCATACAAGGGTTCTAACAAAAGTTCTCGGAGTCAACCACAAGCCATTGCCTGAGGTGGATGAACTTTTTTTTATTGGATTCTTCATCCTTTTTTAGCCTAGGACAAATTTTTTTGTCATCCCTAGACAAAAATGGAAACTGGGAACAAAAATTGAATGAGTTTTTTCTGGTGATGTGCCCACCCATTCTAACAGAAGTTCTTGGAATCAACCACAAACCGTCACCACCCAGTTTCCATTTTTTGTCTAGGGATGAAAAAAAAATTGGTTCTAGCTTAAAAAAGGATGAGGAATCCAATAAAAAAATGTTCATCCATCTCCGGTGATGGCTTGTGGTTGACTCCAAGAACTTTTGTTAGAACCCTTGTATGTTATGATGCAAAGCTTTATAAAGGTATCTTCATTTCAATTCAAACTGCTTCGTTTCTCGAGCGTATCCGTTTTGAGGTCATATCTGTAATAATAGAATGATTCATTCCTTTGCTAAATTTTGAATTAAAAAAATTTTCAGACCCCAGGAAACTAATGCTGCCTGGCATTCGGACATGTTTTTAGGCTCCCGTCGCTGCTCTCAGGGGTTCTGTAACTTGCATACTTTTTTTGTGTGCATCAGATGGTATGGGGAAAATGTTTCACGACATTTCTGCATCGGAAAAAAAAGACAAGTTCGAGAACCCAATTGTGTTCGGAACACGGGTTCCCACTGCACTGGTAGGGCGTTATTTTTTTTGTACGGGTCCAGAAGAGACGTTCTTCCTGGCCCGGGCGCAGGAATAGGATGCAAATGGGTATTGACCCAGGACGACAGAGCTGAGAACCCCTTTGCGCTTTTGTTTCTTTCCTCAGAGCGTGCTGGAAGCGACTCATTCGCCGACGGATTCCGTGGCTGGGCTGATAAGCGGAAGCGGGGGTCCGGTCCCGTCGGGTCCCGTCAAGCGTCAGGGAGTCTCTGGGGAGAGCTCGAACCAGCCTTTGACCCCCGGCGGGTCCGGTTCGGCCAAAATCACTATACCCAAGGTCGACAAGGACTTCAGGTCAGATTTTCGGTCTCTATACCCGCTCCATTGTGTTCTTTCACCTCGTCTCTCGAACCGTACCTGCTCCGAGATTGACGTAAGGAGATAAAATGACACTGTGTGTGCCTCTCGGGCGCCTTCTTGAGGAAATGTCAGCATGGAGATAATCCGGGAACGGAGATAATGACGACGCGAAGAAAAAAATATCAATGAGAAAGAAATTGCATCAGCAGGAGTCAATTCCATTCGGGAGAAAACCATGTTCAGACGAAAAGAGCCAATTGTGTTACGGGAGAAAATATTGCCGGAAAATAATACTTTGAAGAACTTCAGCTACAGTTTCGAAACAATTGAACGCCAGGAAATCGTTTTAATATTCCATTGGATTCATTTCTTAACAAAAAAAAACTATTTCTAAACCAGTTTTGGTTTCACGCGTCGACAGTTTTATTTGCAATATTGAAAGAATTAGATTCATGCTTTTTACCCTAAAATGTTTTGATCAAGTTAGTTGATATGACGACAGGTATGTTAAAAATACTTTGATGCCAGATGAACTCCCTCAACGACATCATGCAGTGGACAAAAACAAAAAATTTCGAAGAATTCCGTCTTGAAGTAGCTCTACATGCTTTGAATTCAGGTCTTTTGAGGAATATGGACCAGTTAATTTCTTTAGAATCACGGCGTGGACTCTGCTGAGAGAGACCATTTGTTTCGAGTGGAGCACTATAGAACCCCATTCAAGTTCGTTCAATATCGAGCCATGGTTTCAAAGAACCTATTGCTATTCGTTGTGAAGTTGTGCACACGAGTATGCAGTAGAAGAGCTTTGAACCGAACCCACTTTTCTCTCTTTTGATCTGATGAACGGATTACGGAAAATAAAACGTTCCCATGGTTCGCTTCTTTTACTGCGTAACTTTTCACCATTTCGCGAGGCCATAATCCGGGACAGCAACCTACTTTGCCCTTTGCAGGTTGAACATGGCAACAACACACATATTGCGATTTCAGGCACTTCTTCTTGATTCAAATTTGGAAATAAGATTGTTGACTATTTGTTTCTCAATTATAAAACACTGTGTGACCTGCTTCTCGATTTTTTTTAAAGTATTTCTCATATAAAATTCCCATATAATAAAGTCGAATGAGTGGTGAGCAACATGAAATATTCGTGAGGTTTTCGCTCGTATCGACTTATGATTATCCTGTAATCCATTGAACCAGTTTTTGCAAAAGCATCGTTCTGAAAAGACGAACGCGTACGCAAAATTACCGACTTTACAGATATCTGATGATTTCTTAATTTTCTTGAAGTAAGCATGGGAGTGAAATTCAAATTTAATTATTTCCAAAACGAGGTTCCCGTTTCTCAATCCTCCTTACAAATAACATTTTGAATACTTTTTTTTCTTTTATGCGCGTAATGAGTTGTTGTGAGTAGGAGGTGTTCTTGAGGCTTTCGCTTCAAGTTCCGTGCTATTTTTTCGTGATTCCATCAATTGCAGAAGCAACCGAGTTTGCCTTTCGCAGGTTAAACCCGGCACCCACATAAACATTACATGGTTTGGAACTGGGGCAAACGCATGAAAGCAAGGGCACCGAATGATGCACATTATGCATATTTCAGCACGCGTTTCGTACCCTTCCGAGCTGTAATTCCGGGTCTTCGGAACGAGGTTAGCTCGATTGTCCTAATTTCCGCTGGCAGTCATTGATCGTGTTTGGTGGAAAAAGCTGTTATTTGTGCTCGGAACCGGGGCACGTGCGAAGGCATTCGTGTGGCCCGGGCCCGGAGAACCCCTAATTTATTTGCTTAAAGATGCAGCCTTGCTGAGATTTTCATGCTGCCCTTCGGGTTCTTTGAGGAAGCCAGTGCGGTGGGTTCTTGTGAGAAACGAGCAACTGCGTTTGTGTCTTTGCAGTAAATCGCTTGTGACGCGCATTCTTCCCTTTATTTGAAACACAAAGCTCTTGCGAAGAATTTCTTTTTTACGTACAGTACTTGACGAACCGGGAAATTTATGCTGACACCCAGACTTACAAATCATGCGTCCGTCGCATAAGTGATACCATCATTGATCAACTTATGCAGTATTCACACCTTCCATGCCGGAAACAAATTTGTTAAAGTAATTGACGTTCACGCTGCTCAAATCGATTCTGAATATTTCATTCATGAGCGGAAGTGTTTGTTTCTCAACCCTCTATAGGAGCAGTTGAATCATAAATATTGATTTCTCGACTCGATTTAATATTTCGGAATCCAAAAGAGTTGCGCGTGCCCCAAAACAGCGTAGACCCAAAGCAGCGCATGTCGATCACTGCAAAATATAAAGCCATTTTTTATGAAGCATTTTTCGAGGAATAAACTGCGAACAGCATTTCTGCAGTTTCTGTAAATTGTGTCGCTTTGTAGGCTTGTTTTAATTGGTGAAAAAGCTGCTATGAAGAAATTTGTCCCTAGAAGGTCAAATTACGCGCACCTTTTTTCTGAAATTTCAGAAGAAAAAAAGGGTTGCGCGTCATAAGCGGGTACACATTTTTCAAGAAGTTTTAGGAATGTTATAGTTTTTAAGTTTTAGTTTTAGAAGTTTTGTGTGCATTTTACTTAATTATAATGAAGAAATTTCGCGCAAATGTAACAAGAAAACTTGTTTGTACTGAAAAAGTTGAAAATTGATCCAATTTTTGTTCAATTCATATTCAAAGTTCAATTTTTTTTTCTTTCTCTAAATTTTGTGGTATTAGATTCACTAAAAATTGGGGTGTGCGTCTTACTTTGGTTTAAGATTTCAGCCAAATTTCCTACTGAAAAACCCCTGTGCGCGCCTTACTCGAGGGCGCACGGTACTCGAGTAAATACGGTATTAAAATGCGTGAAATGCTGATATTTTCAGCATAGTTTATTTGATACTCTCTTGTCACTGTTCTGTACTCGAATTATTTTAACACGAGAAACGCTTCACGATATTTTAATGACATGCGCTGCAATTGGACGAGCTCAACTGTCCCGAAAGAGGAACTCCCAATTTCGAACCCGAGATCATAAAACTATTTGTGCTGAAAGCTTTCGACGGTATTCGTGCGTGAAAGCCGAAAGGTGGAATAAAATGCTTTCAACTTGAAGTACGCATTCACTGAAGCATTCCCGCCTATTCCACTGTGCTGTATTCTCTGGTGAAGGCTGCGATCTTCTGCGACGGAAGCTGAATTTTAATGTTTGGCGATTTGTGGTCCATTTGAAAAGAGCTTATGCAATTTGAAAATGAATGGGTGCTCTTCCGAAAAGACATTATGGGCTTTCACAAACGATGAAATCGTCTGATATGATTTGGGTGGAGCCAGACCTGATTTCACATCCCGCCTGACACGCCAGTCATCTAAGGTTTCTAACCCATTCCTTAGCAACTGCTTTCTCTGGAAGTATAAAACGCTCTGCCCTTTTTTCGCGTCATTCAGAATTAAATCGACGGGCCGCACATCCGGCATCTCTGGGATCGAATCCCTCCATCCTTAAATGCCTGAGCCCGCAAAGATGCGAAAGCTTTTCTTGATATTTCCGTTAAAGCTGTGATGCATTCTTCCGCGGTGAGCTTAAAAAGATTTCGTGAATAGCACTGGTATTCTTAGCAAAAATTGAAACATCTTCGGTGCAACCGATAATACATTAATTTTTTAACGCAAAATTTAATTCCGATGAGGAATGCTTGAGCAAATTTGTCTCGACGCTCCTTGCAAAACTTTGATGGTCTATCTCTATACTATCAAGTATATGTGAAAAAAACGAGGTGCAAAATTCAGAAAGTGCTTTAAAATTGATGGTATTTCAGGCAAAATATATTTAAACTTCTTGCTTGTCAATTTTCTTATTCAAAAACAATCTATCCTTTTATATACGGTAATCCAGAGCTACCTTCCAGGCACAGCAATCGACAATAAACGCAGAAAATTTTGAAATTTCAACTTGATAAAATATCTGGCAAGCTTTCCGTCTTGTATTTCCAGATTTTCAAGTACCGTACCGTAAAATTCATAATTTTGTTTGTTGATAACAATCTAAATGAAGCCTCATTCGTAGTTCCTCCTTGCAAAAAGTTTGGCTTGAATATTGCAGCACTGTATGATATACCTTGAGTAGAATTTATTCCAAATGGAGCCATTTGGATCTTAACAAACTATTTATATTGAGGCTCAAATAGACACGTAGCTTATCTGAAAAAGTTCTGAAGAAAAAAAAAATGAGGAGATACTGTGATTTTATGCGGGTACGTAAAAAGTGAATATTATTGGTGGGTTATTCCTCTCAACACAATTTTTTGCATGAAAATGAAGAATACGGTTTATTGAAACAAATAAGCCTATCGTCACAATGACATAAACTGGAAAGATGACAGACTAGGGTGGTTTAGTTGAGGCTTCAGACGAGACATTGCTACCGAGAAATTGAGTAAACTTATTATTACAGCAGTATGTACGTGGGCAACTTTGTTTACGTATTTGAGTCTCACGAAGTTCGCATGGGTCGCATTCATAATCGATAGCCTCCTACATTCGAGTGAATACAGAAGTCTTCCCTTGAATCCTACTCGAGTAAAATCAGTCTTCTCAGAAAATGACGCTCATTTCCTGTTTCACGGCAATTTTTGTTCTTGGTATGGTTCTCTGGAAAGTATTCCACGCGGTGCCCGGGTTCGATGGTGTAATGCGCTCACGATCGCGCGGTGAAACGCTTTCATATTTTTCCACAGTGCGAAAAATTGGGCAACGCCTGTTCCAGATCATGCTTCCACGTCAAAAAGGGTATCATTACAACTGGGATCGCGTCAGTTCGGACCTTCATTAGAGGGTTGCTTGCACACTGACTGTCTGGGTTGGATCTCATTTGTCGCCCGGGCTTGATTTATGACTCGCTGAACGGTCTGTCAAGCACTGCGCAAAGCTTGTGTTGGAAGAAGGTTCCTTATCGCGGAAGTCGGGACAGGAAACGATAATGAAGTTTAGGAATTCAGCCAGTGGGCTGCAATGACTTCATATTTCTTTGCACAATTTCTCGTCTGCATGAGCATTCGTTATGTGTACCACTGATGGAAGGCTAAGGTTTATGAAACTTATTGAGGTTCCCAAGCGTCCTTTTTCACAGAGATGTTTTTAAAATTAAATCGCAGACCTGCACTACGTCTTGTAAAAAATCGTTGGTCGAGAAAGGGAAATGAATGATTCAATATGGCATTCACCGTGAGTTCGTACCCAATTTTCTCTTTTCACCAAATGAACGGTTAAAAATTATTCTAGCGGAAAATTATTTTCGTTTGTCCAAGAAACAAAAGAATGCATGAAAGGTACTTCCATGTTATATTCCCTGTAAGTTCGAATCCACTTCTCTCTTTTAAACTAATGAATGGTCGAGCAGAAATTTAAAGATCTCAAGACTCGCTTCTTTTATGGCATGATTTTTGATCATTTCGTCAAGGCATAATCCAGGGTGGCAACCTACTTCGCCCTTTGCTGGTTCGTGTTTGACTGATACCTTTCTAAAATTGAATCGCAGATCTGAACTGTAGCTTGCGAAAAATTATTTTTGTTGGCCCAAAAGAGAAAGCGAGAGAAATTAATGGTACTTCATGGTATTCATGGTGAGTTTTGGACGAGATGTTGTTATGTTATTTTTGGTGGTCCCTACTTCTTGGTACCATAATCAGTTTTATTCCAAGGCTCTTCCCTTATATTTCTTGAGAACCTCCGTAGCATCCGGGAAGTGGGTGTATGAAGCCTTGTGTTCGTTTTATTCAGCCACTTTCAAGACATGATGTTTTTTGAGGACCACTTTTCCAGATACAAAACATTACCTTCGATCGACTAAACCTTTGATTTAGGCCCCAGTACTTCCCAACTTCGATTCGATTTATACTGCGTTCGTATTGATTATGGATTTTTGTGATTTAATTCTTCACGTTCCATTTTTTCGCACGACTTTGGGTAAACGTAGTTTTATATTAAAAATATTTCACATTCCACCTGATCGGGTTATAGGGAGTCTCACTTCAAAATGGGACAAAGGAAAAAAAAACTGGTCAATTAAGTTGCATTAAGGTCCACTTCATAGATTTTTCGTTCCAGATCGGAACTAGGATACAACGAGCTTCTTTATTTTGAAAAAAAAAACGTGAAATGCGGTTCTCTTTCCTTGGAACTGGATAAAAAAAAAGTCACTTGGGACGTCTTCGAAGCCTCGTTATCGAGGCTTTTAAAATTTGTTTTACATCACCCTAAGGATGATCTTCGTGACATAGAAATAAATTTTTATGGGGACGCGGTGCCTTTGAATCCCTCTTGGGACGGAACACGTGAACTTTCAAAATATTGGCACCCGGTGATGTGTTTCGATTTCAACTTTTACATTAATTCGCTTTGAATAATTGAATAAAATGCGGAATACTTTATGTTTGGCACCTCCCTCGGATCTCGCATCCTATATTTCAATGTGCTGCCCAAAAATAATCAACTTCAAACATTTTATCGTGCTGAACAATATGCATTTTATTCCTGAAATGCGCATTCGCTTGAAACATTTTCAATGAAGCAGTTCCTTCAGTCCAGATAATTCCATAAAAAATGTATTGCCCCACTATGTAGAAATCTGACAGAGATCTGAGGAAGTGTTTGATGCTCCTCTCAAGTCTTGAAAATCTTAGAACAACAAACTAGAGGATAGCAGGGGCTTCCTTGATTTGCATTAGGCTATTTATGCATTTGGAGGATGCGAGCAGGCTTTTATTCAATCATTCCTTGCTTGCATCACTGGCTGAGTTGTCAGAAAGGGCAGAAGCAAGGAGTTCACTTTGATGTTTCGTAAATCCATTGACGCTCTGCGAGAGGTAATAATGTTTGTTTAACTTTCTTCAAAAGGTCATGCTGGATGCAGGTC